ACTTAGGCCAGGAGCTTCCAAGGTTCCCAGGAAAATGGAATCAGAAGCCCACTTTATTTTGATGCAAACAGAATTTTAAATCATTCTGCAGTTTTTTGATAATATGCATTTTTCATGGCCTATTTCAGGGCCCTTGGATTTCAAAAACGTTTAACGCCAGACTAAGCCAGCCTTCTCATTCTCCACCAGCAGGCAGCGTCCTGCACGTGTCTGCCGGCATGCCTGTGCCTCCGTGCTCTTGGGTAGACGTTCACTTGTCTGTGGTTGCAGCAGGTCCGTGCTGGTGCTGCCCCCCCTGGAGTGGTGAGGGCTAGGCGCCGAGTCGGCATGGGGGCGGCCACTGCATCCCTGCCCATGCCCCCTCCGCAGGGCAGCTCTGCTGCCACCTGTGCCCACCCTGCCCAGGCCACCCTCCATGCGTGCGTGGAGAGAGTTTGTGATTCCCCCTCATCCTGTGAGTCAGCAGCGCCCCTGTCGGAGAGCTGAACCCCCAGGCTCTTCTCCGGCCCGTGCATGTTCCCTCCTGCACCCACCGGCCACCCTGGCAGCGCTCCACTCTCTCCGGTAGTCCCGGGAAGCCCCGGAGTCGAGGCACCCACCCTGCTTGCGCCCGTCACCCAGCTCTGACCCTCACTGTTTGGTCACTCTCTCTCAGCTCTGTGTCATCCTCTTGTCACCTTGACCATGACCCTGACCTCTATGTCAGCCCACCCTCCCTTCTTCCTTCAGAAGCAGCCTCAGGCCCAGACCTCACGGAGCTCCCATCACTCATGTTCCTGGTTCCTTCCATGTAATTCAGTCTGTAGTCTGCTGTTAATTTTAAAAAAAGTTTCAGGTGCATTCCTCTGGATGGACATCCATGGCCAGTGTGCTAAGCCCCTGCTTGGGGCTCACATCCCAAGTCAGTGTGTCTGGGGTCAGATGCTGCCTGCGCTGCCACAGCTGGGAGGCAGCGGGTGGTGCTTCTGAGGCCCCTCCCACCCAGGTGTGGCCCAGGGAATGTCTCCAGCACCTGGCTTCAGCCTGGACCAGCTCCAGCTGTGGTAAGCAGGTGGGGCCTGAACCACTGAATGGCAGGTTCTGTCTGTCAGTTCTCTGTCATTTCCAAATAAAGGAATACATCTTTTAAAAAAGATTTATTTATTTTTATTGGAAGGCCAGATTCACAGAGAAGAGGAGAGACAGAGAGGAAGATCTTCCATCTGCTGGTTCACTCCCCAAGTAACTGCAATGACTGGAGCTGAGCCAATCCACAGCCAGGAGCCAGGAGCTTCTTCTGGGTCTCCTACGCAGGTGCAGGGTCCCAAGGCTTTGGGCCGTCCTTGACTGCTTTCCCAGGCCACAAGCAGGAAGCTGGATGGGAAGCGGGGCTGCCAGGATTAGAACTGGCGCCCATATGGGATCCCAGTGTGTTCAAGGTGATGACTTTAGCTGTTAGGCCACGGCATCAGGCCTGCTTGTTTCCTTTCTAATTCCAAATTCTAGGGGCTGCTGGCATCTCATTGGCCCATTGGCTGGGAAGTGAGCATCTGGGACATGAACCAGCGCCCATGTGGGATCCCAGCGCATGCAAAGCTAGGACTTTAGCCACTAGACTACCACACTGGGCCTGAACACATGTTTTTATAAAATGTATTTCTGTATTTGGAAGCACCTGAAGAGCAGTGGCACGAGCAGTGGGAGATGCTCGTCCTGCCCTTCCTGGGGATGCCTCCCTGAGCCCAGCAGACGTGGGGCAGTGGGGCCGTGTCCTCTTCCCCCCCGTCCTGCTGTACTAGTGGGGCTGAGGTGAAGCTGCTGCTGGGACGTCAGAGCACCAGCTGTGTGTCTACTCCTCTGATAGTCCCAGTGCCTGCTCATGCGTCCCAGGAAGGGACAGATGGTGGCTCCATGCTCAGGCCTCTGGCACTTCCATGGAGGGGTGACATGACTGTATGCGTGTGGGTTCCTGACCTCTGTCCCAAGCCGCCCTGGCTGTTGTGGGCATTTAGCAAACAGAGCAGCAAATGGAATCTGGGTGTGTGTGTGTGTGTGTGTGTATGTGTGTGTACACCTCTGGCTTTCAAGCATGTAAAAACATTTCAAAAGTTGGCCACTGGAATACTTTTCTGTAATGTTAGGGCCACAAACTTTAGCAAGAAAGCAACAGATCACGCCCCCAAGAGATGCTCACAGCCCGGTCTGAGCCCCTCGTCCTTGCTGTGACTCTTACCTCACCGCTCAGGCTCTGGGAGTGCCAGGCCTCCCTCCGGCAGGCAAAGGCTGTGTGCTGACCTTCCTGCCCTGGGTGCAGCCCGACCCCAGGGAAGACGACTCCTCCCTGCTGTCTGGCAGGAGACGCCAGCAGTGTGACGGGAGCCTGGGATTCACAGCCTGGCCTGGTCTGCCTGGATGCTGGAGGCAAGTCAGAACTCTCCTGCTCACCTCGTCCCATTTGCAATTCAGAGAGAATCTGCATAGCCACTGACACAGGGTGGTTAGCGCACCAAGTTTAGACTTGAGAAGGCATTTGGAGGCAGTTTTAGTAAATTATCTTAACAAGTGTAAAAATACTTGTGAGCTGTCAACCAGAACATGGAAATCCTGTATTCCTTTAAAACACACATATTTATTCATTTTTATTTGAGGAACAGATTTGCAGAGAGAGAATGATAGAGACAGCAAACTCTTTCCTCCACTTTCTCTCCAAATGGCTGCAATGGCCAGAGCTGAGCTGACCCAAAGCCAGCAGTCAGGAGCTTCTGCAAGGTTTCTCTTGTGAGTGCAGGGGCCCAAGAGCCCAAGCTGCTTTCCCAAGCCATCAGCAGGGAGCTGGCTTGGAGATAGAGTAGCCAGGACTAGACCCAGCACTCACATGGGGTGTTGGTGCTTCGAGTTGGTGAGTTAGCTGGCTCTGCCCCCATACTATCCCATAATTCTGTACATATTGAAGTTCTTCTGCTGTGGCTGGACACTTGGGGAAATGTGGCTGGCCCCAGCTGTCCTGTGGTTCTCGCATCTCTAAGAGGCTGTGGCCTGGCTGGCAAGCATGCCACAGGCCCTTGGTGTGTGGACATGGTACATGAGCCAGGCATAGCTGCTGCATTATGCGTGAGCCGGGTTCCTCATCACCAAGGGGACAAAAAAAAAGCAGGAGAGACTGAGGAAGTGACGTTTGTGCTGGGCTGCAGGCTGTGGCAGGTGCCAGTGTCTGGGGAGCCCTCCCAGCGGCAGGGTGCCACTGTTCCCGAAGGAGAGCAGCTGAGGCCGGCACTGACCACAGCAGGTGCTGGGAAGGTGTAGCACAGGAAGCCACACAGCACTGGTGGCCGGGAAAATAGCATAGCTACTTCAGAGGAAGAGAAAAACCCTCATGGTTCTACAGAACTGATGCGTTTTTCCAGCCGGCAGCTCAGCCTTGTGTCCCACCCAAGCAGGGCGTGCCTCTGTCCACGTAAAAGCATGCCCGCACATGTTGATAGCACCTCTGTTCCCAGCTGCTGAAAATGTGGGGCAGCCAAGGCGCCCTTTAGAGTATGGACATCTGCTCTCCAGAGGCTCAGCTAGCTGCCCTGGGAAGCCTGGCAGAGGCTGAGCTGTGTCAGGCACTGTGCCTCTCAAATAATCTGACATCTGGGTGTGGGTCGTCACAGTAGAGCTGGTGGAGCCGAGGCCTCTCGTGGGGAGCATATGTGGCACGCTTTGGGGTGCAGTCTCCCTCTGGCTCACAGCCCTCAGGGGCTCCCCTTGGCCCTGGGGGTGAGTCCAGAGTCTCTAGCTGCTTTTCTTCTAGTCCTCGCCCTCCCTTCCCCAGGGCCAGTGCCCCTTCTGCTCCTCGGGCAGGCTCTGCCTTTGGGGCAGCACCGAGTGTTCGCACAGCTCATGCCCTCTGTCTGTCTGTGCCCTTTGCCTGGTGGGAAGCTGCCTCAGGGTCCTTAGGGGGGAGTGGCCGTCAGAGTCCCTGCCCCATGTCTGTGCCCCAGCTCGGTGGCCTGCTGCCTCAGCGTCGTCAGGGGAGTGGCCGTCAGGGTCCCTGCCCCATGTCTGTGCCCCAGCTCGGTGGCCTGCTGCCTCAGCGTCATCAGGGGAGTGGCCGTCAGGGTCCCTGCCCCATGTCTGTGCCCCAGCTCGGTGTCCTGCTGCCTCAGCGTCATCAGGGGAGTGGCCATCAGGGTCCCTGCCCCATGTCTGTGCCCCAGCTCGGTGGGCTGCTGCCTCAGCGTCATCAGGGGAGTGGCCGTCAGGGTCCCTGCCCCACGTCTGTGCCCCAGCTCGGTGGCCTGCTGCCTCAGCGTCATCAGGGGAGTGGCCGTCAGGGTCCCTGCCCCACGTCTGTGCCCCAGCTCGGTGGGCTGCTGCCTCAGCGTCGTCAGGGGAGTGGCCATCAGGGTCCCTGCCCCATGTCTGTGCCCCAGCTCGGTGGCCTGCTGCCTCAGCGTCATCAGGGGAGTGGCCGTCAGGGTCCCTGCCCCATGTCTGTGCCCCAGCTCGGTGGCCTGCTGCCTCAGCGTCCTCCCCTCCCCCGCACTCCACCTTGGAGTAAATTGGAAGCATCGACAGGCTTCCAGGGCAACCTGACCTTCTGAAGAAGCATCTGGACTGCACGCAGACTCATTCATTTGATGACTGGGAATATCTGACACGTGTGTTCGCGCAGGCCTGAGTTCAGTGCCCAATGTAAACATGTAGAACCATTCTTTATACTCACGAGAGATCTTACAGATGCAGATGAGCGTTCCCAGCTCGCAGCAGGAAAGTGGAAGCGCAGCCTGGCCCGTGGACTTGTCCTGTAGGAGACCTGTCTCAGCAGTTGTTCTGTCGGTTGTTTGCATTCTTTTAATGCATTCTTTTAAAGCGTCCTTTAATGATTCACATGTTTCCTCATCACGCATGTGCCCCAGCGCGCGGCACAGCTCTCTGCTCCCCGGCAGAAGGGCCTTGCACGGGTCTCACTGGCTCCACAGAGCGGCTCTGGCGAGGTGACTGTGTGTGTCACTTACCTGTCCCTCTGTGTCTTACAGAGCTGCAAAAACTGGAGGGCAGCAGTTGACCTGTGCGGACGCCTCCTCACTGCCCACGGCCAGGGCTACGGCAAGAGCGGGCTGCCCACCAGCCACACCACAGACTCACTGCAGGTAGGCACAGCCAACTGTCACTGCATTGTTATTCCACTTGTGTTGGAGATGTGGGAGAGACCAGGCTTTTCACACCACAAAGAACAATTGGAAAATGAGCACCAATTCTTCCTTTCTCTTTCTCGGTGTCACTGCGTGTGCCCCAGAATGGCACTTCCAGCCACGCCCTGTTGCACCTTTGGCCCGGAACCTTGGTGGGCACAGGGCACTTGGCACACAGCCTCCTAGCAGATGGCAGGGGCGGGAGCCCCAGTTGAGGTGGCAGGCACTCAGAAGACTCCAGGGCCCCTCTGGGCTTGATGGAAGTGGTGGCATCATCGGTTTGTCCTGGCTGCCCGGGGAGCTGGTACCCATGCACTTGCGTGCCTTCCTTGCTGCAGCAACACTTGTTCTGAAATTTAGAAGTGACAGGAATGCGCAGAGCAGAGCTGTGGATAAAAGGAAGCAGCCATAGAGGCCCTTGGCTTCTTGCCTTTCCTAGGGGCTTTCTACCTTTTACCTGACGCCTGTGGGGGTCCCCAGAACTGATCCTATCTGAAGGACTGCACAGCCGTGAGGAGGGGGACTCACCGAGTGAGGACTGTGCCTGGGGGTCCCCCTGAACCTGCAGGCGGTGCTGGATCCCTAGGGTTCTCTGCCCTGGCCCGTGGACGCAGTGCCTGTAACCTTTTTCTGTCCTTACCATCTCCGCATGTTGGTGTGCTCTGCGTAGAGATAGCCAGCCTCAGACCGGATTTGTCCTTGCCGTATCAAAGTGAGCGCCTCCTCACCGACAGGAGACATCCCAGCAGCCAGCACACCCCACCCTCAGCCCTTTCTCCAGGGCCGTGACTGACACAGGCACAGTGATGCCATGGCTGCGCCCGACAGCCGGGGGACTCCAGTGTGCCTGCCGCCCGAGACCCAGGTGTACACCGCAGGCTGCATGGAGCGCAAGGGTGCGGCTTAACCCACCACTCAGGGCAGCCATCTAAAACTTAGGCATCACTTCTTTAATTCCCCATTTGAGATTTTTGTTATTTTGTTTGTTTTCCAAGATTGATTTGTTTGAAAGAGAGCGAAAGAGCTCTATTCCATCCTCTGGGTCCCTCCAGAAATGGCTGCGACAGCCAGGGCTGGGCTAGGCTGCAGCCAGGAGCCAGAAGCTGCATCCTGGTCTCCCACATGAATAGCAGGGGCCCAGGCACTTGGGCCACCTTCTGCCGCTTTCCCAGCGCGTGAGCTGGGAGCTGGGGTGGAAGTGGAACAAAAGGGATGTGAACCGTCCCTCTAATGAGGCGCCATGGTTGCAGGCAGTAACTTCACCCACTGTGTCACCACACTCCAGCCCCTTGTTGCTAAGTGTTTATTTACTTGTGGCAGAGCAGAGAGAAGGACACACAGTCACGGGTAGATCTCCCATCAGCTGCTTTACTCCCCAGAATGCTTGGGACAGCTGGGGCCAGGCCAGGCAGGGGCCAGGCCAGGCAGGGGCCAGACCAGGCTGAGGTCCCTCCCACATGGGCGGAAGGGAGCCAGGACTTGGACCATCCTCTGCTGCCTTCCCGGGCACTTTAGCAGGGAACAGGGTCAGAAGTGGAGCAGCCAGGACTTGAGCCATTGCCATGCGGGGCGCTGCATTACCGTTGGCGGCTGGACTCTGCCGCAGTGCTATCCCACAGAATGATAGTGAGTGCAGCTCAGTATTTTCTCAGCCACCTTTTGGTTCTGAACTTGTGCAGCCTGAGCACTCTAGTCAGTGTCTCCTCGCATTGCTGGGTACACACGGGAGCACCCGCATACTGCCCGCTCGGAGTCTCTGTCCCCCTAGTCCCTTTCACGAGGCCTTGCGTGGCCTCTGTCCCCCTAGTCCGCAGCACGAGGCCTTGCGTGGCCTTTGGCCTCCTAGCATGCTATAGCATTCACTGCTATTGTGTGCCCTGTGTGCCGTGGCTCACCACAGGTCCTGCCATGTCCCCCATCCTGTGCTGTTTTGTGCCATTCCTCCCCATGCCCCACAATGGCTCCGCCTCTCAGCACGGGGCTGTGGGCTACTCTTCCCAGCCCCATGCATGGCAATTTGTGCATATACCTTTATTAAATGCAAGAGTATGCTTATAAACATGTAATTATGCAATTATGCGAAAACCGAAGGTTAGTCTGGGCCTTGTTTTAAATATTGAAGACAATTTTGTGGGCCCATTGCGATAGCCTAATGGCTAAAATCCTCATCTTGCATGTGTCGGGATCCCATATGAATGCCACTGCATGTCCTAGCTGTTCCACCCCCTATCCAGCTCCCTGTTAGTGGCCTGGGAAGGGAGCGGAGGATGGCCCAAAGCCTAGGGATCCTGCACCCACGTGGAAGAAGCTCTTGGCTTCGGATCGGCTCAGCCTCAACCGTTGTGGTCACTTGGGGAGTAGATCAGCAGACCGAAGGTCTTTTTCTCTATAAATCTGACTCCCCAATAAAAATAAATAAATCTTTAAAAAGAAGAACCACCTCAATCTTGTGATACCCAATCAGTAAGACATAGGGTTTGTGCACCTGGTACATATAATGACAGCTTGCTTCCGCCGCGTCTTGTGTTTCCAGCTTTGGTTCGTGAGGCTGGCACTGCTGGTGAAGCTGGGCCTGTTCCAGAATGCCGAGGTGGAGTTTGAGCCCTTCGGGAACCTCGACCAGCCAGACCTTTACTATGAATACTACCCGCACGTGTACCCCGGCCGCAGGGGTAAGCAGCGACTCGGCTCCCCGTGCAGTGCCAGGCTTGGCTTCTGCCCCGCTCTGCGTTACACAGACTCAGCTCTGTGCTTCTGTACTTGCTGAACTCCAAAAATCAAATAGCCTAGCCATAAGCCTCCCCACTCAGGGCTGTGGACGCGGGGATTGGGAGGCCCACTCCAGGTCCCTTCCGAGTGGCCATTGCGTCAGAGCAGTGGGGTCACGTGGAGCTGGGCGTGGGCCCACTGGTGGTAGAGGGACCCAGGTGATGAGGCGGCTTCAACCCCTGACGAGTACACGCCCATGCCCCACACACCTCGCCGAAGCAGGTGCTGGAAGTCTCCATCCTGCTTACTGTCTGTACCTGAGCAGAAGGGGATTCCGAGAGAGCCTCGGGAGACCAGAGCGAGGGAGAGAAAGGGCAGTGAGCGGGATGCCCCGGCAGTTGTGCCAGGTTCATGGCAGAGGGGGTGTCCTGGTTTGAGGCCGTGGCCTGCTTCCGCCCAGTCGCGCTGCACACTTGGCGAGTTGGCTCAGTGTCCCCATGTGTCCATGCACGCTGCATATGACTAAGGCTGCCATTGACTATTCCTGCACGTGTGGCCTTTGCTGCTTTTCTTGGTTGTTCAGTAGCCTGTATGAGACTCCAGTACCCCTGCCTGAGACCCGTTACGCAGCAGAGCCATCCAGCTGGTTGGAAGATGTCGAGCCAGACAGGAGGTGGAGAACATGCAGAGAGCTGGAGTGGAGAGTGTAAGCCTTCACAGTACTGGGAGCACTGTGTCTCCCGGGCCTAGTTCCGTAGCCAGCAGGTCACCTGGTGGCCCTCATCGGTATGCCTCCTTGGAGCTCTGTCCTCTGTGTGGGAGCCCACAAGGGCAGGCCCCATGGGAAGACATTGGAATGGCGGAGCTCAGGAGTGTTCCTCTGGGTTCTACCCAGGAGCACTGATGGCCGTTCTGTTTGCTTAGAAGCAGCAGTTATGTTTTTCTTCAGCTTAAAAAACAAAACAATGGATTTCTTCCTAGTGTGCCTGGTTGTAGCCCCTCTGCATCCTGCCTCACTCCTGCCAGCAGGCGCAGGCTGGGCCTCGGGGTCGGCAGCTGGCTTTCATCTGTGTTCTCTCTGCCGTTGTGAGCAAATACAGCTCTGGGCACAATCCCATCGCCGCTGGCCCTGAGCCACCAGCACCCCAGGGCACGCATGGCCTGAGAGCCCCTTCTGGGCACAGTCCCATCACCGCTGGCCCTGAGCCACCAGCACCCCAGGGCGCCCATGGCCTGAGAGCCCCTGGCTTTCCTTCCTGTTGAGGTCCGGGTGGAGTCCGGGTTCATAAAGATGCCTCTGCATTCCTGTGGGCATCTAGGGGGCAGGGCTCGCTGTGGGGACCCGGAGAGAAGCCCCGTTCCCACCATGTTGCTGCCCCTGAGAGCTGCAGGCCCTCGGTGGTCTGTGAGTCAGAGCCTGTGAGCGTCCTCCGGGCCCAGGGTCAGGCAGAGCCACCCGCCTGAGGAACGGCCTCCCAGGACATGCAGCCTGGAGAGCTTGCTTCTCATTCTGCCTGAAATTAAATTGCCCTGGGATACAGATAAAGAGAAGACAGTGGCCATGCGTCATTAAGCAGCTAATTTAAATTATGAAATAGGCATAAATCCTACGTGCATTTTAGCTAAAGAGTATTAGCATCCATCCACGGGGTAGAATGCACGCTCACTCATTTTTCTTTTTGTTTTGTGGTGTAACAGCATAAATGTAAGATTTTGATTCATTCATTTCATTTCAGTTCACCATATATAAGCCAAACAAGTCATTAAAATGTGCTTTAAAAAGGGGGTTGTAATGATACAAACAAATAACTCTTTTGAATGAGCTTCAATGTATTTCCTTGAAATATTGGCATAATTTTCACCCCTTGAGATTATTATTCAAAATAAGGCATGTAATGAATCATGCGGAAATCATGAAATTGTCACTTTAACTCAAGGAAGGGGCAGTGTTGCTGCCAGGGTCAGTGGCCTTTGCCCTCAGAGAGCATATGGGCTGGCTTGGCCAGCCCCGTCTTCTCTGCGGCTGCTGGACCATGCTAGCTCCCAGGACAGGGCAGAGAGCGCCCCGGTGTGAGCAGGTGCCAGGACAGGGAGTGACCCTGTGGTGTGAGCAGGTGCCAGGAACAGGGAACAGTCCCATGGTGTGAGCAGGTGCCAGGACAGAGAGCGACTCCATGTTGCGGGCAGGTGCCAGGACAGGGAGCGACTCCATGGTGTGAACAGGTGCCAGGACAGGGAGCGACTCCATGGTGCGAGCAGGTGCCAGGACAGGGAGCGACTCCATGGTGCGAGCAGGTGCCAGGACAGGGAGCGACTCCATGGTGCGAACAGGTGCCAGGACAGGGAGCGACTCCATGTTGCGGGCAGGTGCCAGGACAGGGAGCGACTCCATGGTGCGAACAGGTGCCAGGACAGGGAGCGACTCCATGGTGTGAACAGGTGCCAGGACAGGGAGCGACTCCATGGTGCGAGCAGGTGGCAGTGCACAGCTCTGGCCTGGGCTCCCCTGTCTGTTCCCTGCCCTTCCGCTTTCAGGCCCTGCCCCATTTTTCTTCTGTTGTCCCACTCCCTCCCTGGTTCCTTCTGGCATTTGCTATGCCTCCAGCCCTCAGATCAGGCCCCGGTGTGGAGTTGGGGACTGCCTGCCCACAAGCAGACCCCCAGGAAAGTGTCCCTGGCTTCAGCCGTGCACTTGAAGAAGGTGCAGGGTTGGTGTATCCAACTTGATATACTAGGGGTAAACTCTCACGCAGACTCCCTGTTTGTGACGTCAAGTAGCTCTGGGGCCTTAGAGCTGGCCCTGCTTACAGACAGAGTGAAGGACTTGCGGATATACAGAGAGGAGAGACAGAGAGGAAGATCTTCCCTCATGATTCACTCCCCAAGTGAGCGCAACGGCCGACGGTCCAAAGCCAGGAACCTCTTCTGGGTCTCCCACGCGGGTGCAGGGTCCCAAAGCTTTGGGCCATCCTCGACTGCTTTCTTGGGTCACAGGCAGGGAGCTGGATGGGAAGCGGGGCCGCCGGGATTAGAACCAGCGCCCACATGGGATCCCAGGCGTGCAAGGCGAGGACCTTAACCACTGCGCCACCGCGCCGGACCCTGTTGTTGTTTGGTTTTGTTGGGGGGTTTTTGGTAGCATCATTTTCTCAAGAAAAGTCTTTTTCGTTTCTTCAGCAACGCATTGATCATTCCGTAACATGTTATTTAACTTCATGTTGTTGCAAATTTTCTGTTTTTCTTCCTGTTGTTGATTTTGCTTTATGGCTTTTCATTTAAGGGATGTACAGTAACTGTGTAATGGAGACTGTCAGACCGAGATGGGAGGGTACAATGCAGTGTGCACCTCTACTTCCAGACAAAGCTGGACTCCCAGTGAAGCTGCCGCTTGTATCTCGACAGTAGGATGCTGGACTCTGCCGGTGTCCACGCTGACAATGTCAGGATACGCTCCAGTGGCAGAATGATGGACTTGGGGCTGTCTGCTCTTTGTGAAGGACTAGACTACTGTAATAATATGGAAGGAATCAGGGCGAGGACTTGGCGAGGGCAGGAAGGGAAATCCCAGAGTCTATGGAGCTGAATCGTAAATAATCTAAAAATAAGATTAAATGAATAAAATTAAAGTTAAAAAGAGTCTTGGCAGGAATTACGTCCGTGGAAGGATGACATCAGCACCTCCTTGGTTATGTTTCCGATTGACGTCTCGCCTCGGCGTTGCTTTTTAGTGGCTGATGAGCCAGTACTGGAACAGATTGTTGGGTTGCACAGTAGTATGGTGTGATATGTCATGTAGTTATAGATGATCTTATGGCATGTGACTGGGGTTACTCTTTATGGTGTACATGTTTGCTATATTCTTATCTTCAGAGAAAAATGAGGGTCCATTTCTGAATGTTTAAGTTGAGCGTCCTGGAGGACAGCTAGGTTGCCCCCCCCCACCGGCACACCAGCTCCGTCGCTGCAGTCTGATGCTCCCCCCACCCCCAGGACACCAGCTCCATTGCTGCGGTTTGTTGCTCAGCATGCTCTTTTGCACTCACGAAGGCGCGTGCACACGTGCCGAGGGCCAGGGCCTGGAGTTTTCAGAGCTCGCCGAAGGACAACGGGGACCAGAGGGTGTTCCCCTGGGAAGCCCTCAGCGCTCAGGGCATGCAGGGCGCAGGCACGGCCGGGGAGTCTTGTTTTCAAAGCCTGTTCCGGCGGTGTGAGAGCATCGCAGCGAGATGAAGGTGACGAGACAGGCTCTTTTTAACTCCCTCTGTGTAGGTCAAGGTGAGTCACCGCTGCGTCCTTAATCCTCCCCACTCCTACATCAAGAATTCTCATTTCTAGTTCTCATCATCAATGCTGAAGCCTTTCTGTCAGCGTCATCAAGCACCGTAAGTCAGGAGTTTTGTGTTGATCTTGCTTCAGCTGTCAGATCTGCTTTCCCTTTGTGTCTTGGCGTGAACACGCCTGGTGTGCTGCTTTCGGGGAGGCTGTTAGTGTGTTCAGCTGTCCCTCTCCTGTTCTCCACGCTGTGGTGTTTGGTCTTCCATTCTTAGGGCCCACAGCTGTGGCTTGGTCAGTGACAGTCCTCTGCCGTCCCACCCAGGAGCTCTCACCTTGTCACATTGTGGTCGTAATGTCAGTGCACCCAGGCGTGCAGGCGTCAGGCTGTGTCCCCTGGGGCAGGTGACATTGCTGAGGGCTACGACCATGGCTCTGTGCGCTTGGTCAGGCACATGCAGGTACCAAGCCTTGTCCCCAGCACTGAGAAGCAGCAGCGCAGAGCCCGTGGGGAGCTGCTTGTATCAGAGGAGATGGGCAGAGGCAGAGGGGCCACTCAGAGCAGGACCTGTGGGCTGCAGCATCCACGTGTCAGGGTCCCTCTCGGGCAGTGTCCGAGTGTCCCTGTCCCCAAGGGGGCCCAGCTCCCAGCCCCTGGCCCAGGCTGCAACATCAGCCTGTCCACTGCCCC